TCGGGGGTTGGGGCCGCTGCCCCCTGTCACGCTGATCCTGGTGCCGGGAGGCCTCGCGGCTCCGCTGATCCCGGTCCTAGGAGGCATATTACCCTTTTACTATATAGGGTAGTGGCCTGGTACACGGGTGGGTGCCAGCTCGTTTGCCCTGAAGGATGTTCTGGATCAGGGTGGGGGTCCCCACTGGGGTGCCTGTCCAGCCTGGGTGAGGGGATGATGCTGTTTGCAGCTGGTCACACACCCTTCAAGGTGGTGGTCCCCACTGGGGTGCCTGGCCAGTCTGAGTGATGGGCTGAGGGCTGTTTTCAGGCTGGGGGTGACTGAAGCTCCCAACCACTCCTTTTTTTCTTTTCTTTTTTTTTATTCTGCGCCAGCTTTACCTTTGAGGCTTGGCTCCAGCTCTTAGGCCTCCGCTGCTGAAAGTAGGTTTCTGGCCTTTGCTTACAATGTTTCGATCCTGCTGGCTGAAGCCCAGCGGATCAAAGCATGTTTCTGGGGTTTTGTTTAGCTTCTATATTTGTTACATAGTTGCTTAGAGTTGGAGCTCAGAGGCCTGCCGTGGCAGGTGGCAGGCAGGGAACGTTGGAGTCCTCCGTCACTGAAGCAAGCAAACCTCATGTTAGTTTCAAGCTGCCTGGCTGCTGGCCGCCATCTTGGCTGGCAGTTAATTTGCATATCTCGCTGATTAGCCAATGGGAAGGATAGCAGTCGTACACCAATTACCATGTTTCTCTTTTATTAGATAGGATGTACTTGTGGATTCTTATTTTAGTCATTGGATATAACATTACCATCAATATTAGGCTCCTCTTGTCCCAGATTTGGCTGGTGGGAAAAGCTTCAAATTGTTGGCTAGCTATTTTGAAATGTTTGAAGTCCATTAGAGACCAAGGCTGAATATGATAATTCAGTGGAAAAATATTAGCACTCCTGAAATACTGTTCACATAGTGCAATTGCCTGACTGGTTTATTGATTCAATGTGACAAGAACAGTGCTATTTAGCAATGCTTTGAGAGTTTAAGTAGCTTTATGTATTTTGCAGATTTTAATTCCATGTAGAAATAGCAAAAAATATAACTCCAATTTTTTAATTCTTTAATAAGTTCATCACTTTTTTGCTATTAGAGAACTTATGTGAAGTTGTTACTGTAGCCAGAAAGCTACATTTGTGAAGTTTGGCATAAAAGCCCCAAAGGTTTACTCATCTAATCTAATAAAAGAGAAACATGCAAATTGACCGTGCCTCTGCTACACTCAAGACACACCATAAGCCACGCCCACCAGCCGATCAGGAGCAAATATGCAAATTAACCCAACTAAGATGGCGGCAGCCTTGGAGATGGAGTGAGCAGGAGGCTTGGATTGCCCCCAGCGATGGAGGAAGCCAAGCTTCCTGCCTGCCCTGCCAGCCCTGAGCTCTCCTCAAGGCAACAGAGTTTCAATTATAGAAGATAAATAAATCCCAGATACCTGCTTCCAGCCGGCGTGGCCTCCACTCAAAGAAGGTCTGGGAGCCTAGGTTGCCAGGGGTAACCCAGGCTTCTAGGACCTGGGCTCCACTCAAGGCTACAAAGTTTCAATTATAGAAGATAAATAAATCCCAGATATCTGCTTCCAGCCCGCGGCCCTGGCCAGCCTGAAAACAGCCATCAGCTCCTCACCCAGGCTGGCCAGGCACCCCAGCAGGACCCCCCCCACCCTGAAGGGGCTTTGGCCAGCCTAAAAATAGCCCTCAGCCCCTCACCCAGGCTGGCCAGGCACCCCATCGGGACCCCCACCCTGATCCAGGACACCCTATAGCGCAAACCAGCCAGCCCCCACCTGAGCACCAGGCCTCTATCCTATATAATAAAAGGGTAATATGCATGTTTCCCTAACAGCAGAACAACTGGGAATTACTGGTCACTATGACACACCCTGACCACCAGGGGGCAGATGCTCAATACAGGAGCTGCCCCCTGGTGGTCAGTGCACTCCCACAGGGGGAGCTCTGCTCAGCCACAAGCCAGGCTGACAGTTGTCAGCACAGCGATTGTGGCAGGAGCCTCTCCCGCCTCCTCAACAGTGCTAAGGATGTCCGACTGCAGCTTAGACCTGCTCCCCGCTGGCAAGTGGATATCCCCCAAGGGCTCTCGGACTGCCACAGGGATGTCTGACTGCCAGCTTAGGCCCAGTCCCCCCTGGGAGCAGGCCTAAGCCAGCAGGTGGACATCCCCTGATGGGTCCCAGATTGCGAGAGAGCACAGGCCAGGCTGAGGGACCCCCCCTGGGTGCACAAATTTTTGTGCAACAGGCCTCTAGTTATTAATAAGACAATAAGGGACTTAAAGTTATTATTCATTTAAAAATTGTTTAAAATGAACTTTTCTTAGTAGCTTTGCATTCTTATAACCTAAGCTAACTACATTTCTATTTAACAAACAAATTTTGTATATGACTTTTTTTTGCTTCTTTTTTAATAGAAAGTGATTTTAGTGATGACTTTAGTGATGATTATGTAGAGACTCGGCGAAGGCGGTCAAGGAGGAACCAGAAAAGACAAATTAACTACAAAGAAGATTCAGAGAGTGAAGGTTCCCAGAAAAGTTTACGGCGTGGTAAAGAAATCAGACGAGTTCACAAGCGCAGGCTTTCCAGCTCAGAGAGTGAAGGTGAGGACTAGATCTCCAATTTATGGAAGTTTGGACAAGGCAGAAATAAAATGAACTCTATACCATTTCTAAGAAATTCAAGCCGAAACCGGTTTGGCTCAGTGGATAGAGCGTCGGCCTGCGGACTGAGGGGTCCCAGGTTCGATTCCGGTCAAGGGCATGTACCTGGGTTGCGGGCACATCCCCAGTAGGAGATGTGCAGGAGGCAGCTGATCGATGTTTCTCTCTCATCGATGTTTCTAACTCTCCATCTATCTCTCTTCCTCTCTATAAAAAATGAATAAAATATATTTAAAAAAAAAAAAAAAGAAATTCAATATAACCAGTAATATCTTTGAGACAAAATTCATTATTTTATGCCTGGTCACTATTTAAAATTTAAATAAATGCTAGTTGATAAGATACAGGTTTTTTGTTGTTGTTTTTAATCATTGTGAGCATGTTTTTTTTGTTTTTTAAAATATATTCTTATTTCAAAGAAGAAGGGAAAAGGAGAAAGAAAGAAAAACGTCAATGATGAGAGAGAATCATTGATTGGCTGCCTCCTGCCTACTGGGGATTGAGCCCACAACCTGGGCATGTGCCCTTGACTGGAACTCTATTCATTGAGCCAAACCAGCTAGGGCAAGATACAGGTTTTTTAAATAGTTCTATTGATTTTAGAAAGAGAGCATGCGGGGGGGAGGGGGGGGGTTGGAGAGGGAGAGAGGTGTCAATATGAGAGTGAAACATCATTTGGCTGCCTCCTGCACGCCTCCTACCCGGATCAAACTGCAAACCAGTTATATGTCATGAATTCATTGATCAGCTGCCTCCTGCACACCCCCTACTGGGGTTCAAGCCCAAAACCTGTGCATGTGTCCTGACCAGAAACCGAACTGTAAGCTCCTGGTTCATAGGTCAGTGCTCAGCCACTAAGCCACACTGGTTGGGCAAGATACAAATTTTTAAGTTCACCATTGTAATAATTAAATTTTTCATGGAAACTAGATGAATCTCAAAATTGTGATCTAAGCAAGATTTTTTTCTGCTCCCATATTATTTATGGCCCTCATTTTGAAATAACCTCCTTTAACTTGAGTACCTGAATAGCTAGACACTTCCAAACCAAGGTACTTACTGTTTTGTCCATCTTGCCAGGAACCTTCAGTTGGTGCCTTTTATTTCTTAATAGCTATAGCTGTGCCCATACCAGAAGTTCAGGAAAAACTCTAAAATATGAATTTGTGATATCCATTTTTTTAAAAAATCCTCCTCGAGGATCTTCTTATTGATTTGAGGGAGATGGGGAGGGAGGGAGGGAAAAAGGGAGAGAGGGAAAATGAGAGAAACAGACAGACAGACAGACATCGATGTGAGAGAGAAACATCGATTGGTTGCCTTCTGTAAAGCCCTGACTGGGGATGGAACACGAAA